AACCTCTTCTGATTGATTACTTAGATTGTATAAATATACAAAATCAGGTAATTAAATTATCTAATTACAGTATATAAATATACAAACTTCAAATCACAACACCACGTATGACTTTTTGTCAAGTTGCTGTGATTCTGAAAACTTCAAACTATTAATTTCAGATGAAAGCCAGAGGAATGATGAAAACATGTAAAGAATAATTTAAATAGAATAATGTTATCTATAGTCTCAAAGTGACTTTTGCATATTTTCCTGCAGAAAAACAACTGAAATGATTTGGTTTTGAGAGATTTGTGCACACGTTTTAAACTAGCATCAATTCCTTCTAAGGAGGCAAATTCAGCTGTATTCTTTTATGGATATTTGGCTGATTTTTTTAACCTAAAATTGGCTTTTCCAATTACATTAGTACCTAATCTAGTACAGAGTAAGCGTTCGATCACCGAGCACTGATTGTCAAGATTCATTCCTTTTTGTGGGGCTGGGCGATATGACCTAAAAACAAAATCTCAGATTTTATTGTCTTTAATTCGATTCACGATTTTTTTCTGATTCTCTCTCCCCCTAAATTATTAAGAATAGCAATAACTACGAATGGAAGGCACCTTAAAGCCTATTTTGTTTTGTATTTAATCACAAGCAAGACAAATGTAACACTCATTTCTGAGATGAATAATGAATAAATGGACACCCTCTTGGAATAAAAGCGCCACGCTCCACGTCCGTCGCAGCAAACCCAAACCAGTTCCAAACAACAGAGGATTTAATTCCTTTCCTAGGAACAAACTTCCAACTCTCAACAGTGGCCATGGAGTTGCACGCTGTGACGTTGTTGTTGCGGTTATGTGAAACTAAAGCTACGGAAGCTCCGGGGGGCCAAAAAGGTGGTATTGCATAAAAATTCGATAATTTTTTTTTAATTGCTTGCGACAAAAACATTCAAATTAATTGATTTTATCAATTTCTTGCCCAGGCCTACCTTTTTGTGGGTTTCTCTTTACCTGCATCATCATTTACCAAGAGAGCTTTCATTCTGCATGTTTTAGCTTCTCAAATACAAAAGATAAAAAAAAATGCTCTTGAGAAAACACTGTAAATGTAATTTAACCGCTAATGTTGGAGGAAGGAAATGTAATAAACCCTCAAGAGAGTTTAAAGCGATCTCCAAACTTTCTGAAGGTGTTGGTCAGTGTTGACTTTTCTCGCATTTACAGTCCAGTGTTTGACTATTTTAAAGAGAACGTTATTGTGGTTTTATTTTGAAGAGAACAACCATAACAACCAGGATGTTTTAGTGAAAAAATTGGCTGCTTAAAACAAAATCAGGAGTAATTTTAGATGTTTGCACATCACCTGACAATAAATGTAACGACCAAACTTTTGGCACATTTTGTATTCCGTTTCCATCATATCAGGCTGTAGTTCTCATGCATTTACAGAATGGTTGCTTGGTTTTGTGTGCTATTAGCGAAGCTTCAGTAAAACCACGTAGCTCAGGCTGTACTTAGCACCCTGCCTGACATTTATGAGAAACACGACTCCTGAGCAGCCAGGCCACTTTAGGCAGACTACACTCAGACGGTGTGAACAAGGAGGCAAGTTTCCTGGAATTTTCAGATTTTCTGTTTTTACTCTCAAGCCCCATTTGTATGTTTTTTTTACTTCCCTTCTGCTGAAGCCCACCAGCGCTGCTGTCCAGTACACCAGCTTCAAAATAGCAGCGCTGAGGGACCCAGCAGATTCACCTTTTCTCAAGTTCACATCGGTGGCAGGGGCGGCCGAATTGTAGGAGTTTCTGTGGCACGCAGGAGCACCGGGAGAGTTCTCGAGTTTCGTTTGGTGGATGCATCAGATCACACACGGACGCAGACACACACCTGTTGCTGTCACACACACACACACACACACACACACACACACACACACACACACACACACACACACACACACACACACACACACACACACACACACACACACACACACACACACACACACACACACACACACACACACAGGCAGTTCAGTGAAAAGGAATAAATAAAGGAAAAGAGAGAAATGTCAGGATTTTGTTCAAGATGGTCAAACATTTGAAAGTTCACAGATCTGCAACCTATGGAGCAACTTTTTGATATTTTCCCGTGAGTTAGGGTGCAAGCATGTTGGAGCTGCGGGATCCAGAGGGCGAGTGGGAGAGGACAGGGTCAGGTTCCTGCTCTACACTTGGAAGTTGGCTAAAACATCCACCCATCCCTGACTTAACCTCCTCCCGCTGCAGCCCTATACATAGTAGTGGAGCTGCTCTTTATCTGTCTAGCGGTCCAGCAGATGGTCACACTGCTGGTGCGAGGGTCGCTTCGCCTCAGATTCAACAGATTCTCTGGCTGGGAATCAAGTCAGGACTGCAGAGGCAGAAACTGTCTGAAACTGTCCCGACTGAGGCTGCACACACATGGCCTCCAGTAACACCCTCAAAACATTTCCCCCTTTGAGTCTATTTACTCAGATCTGAAGTTTATTTAACTGCTGAAAGGCGCTGGGTGGTGGGAATGATTCTGATTACAGACACTCTGCTTCACGTGTAGCTTGCCGGCACTGTCGCCAAAGCCAGCTGAGGTCGTGAGGTCATTAGAATGTTAGACAGCTGAACAGAAAGAGGTTTATTTGATTTTAATGAAGTGCCAAGTCTTTGGTCATCCTGTGGTTGTATTAAATTTCTCATCTGGATCCTGAAACAACAAACTGGAGGCTCGGTTTCATCATCGCTTCACTCTGTACTGCAACATGGCTACATGCTAATACTGAGCCATCCATTCATTTGTTCATTTATCATCCATCTAACCATGATTTAATCATTTATTAATTAATATAACCATTTTTTTGTTCATCTAACCATTCATCCATCCATCTGTCCAACTAACTGTCCTTTCTTCCATCCGTCTAACCATCAGTCATTCATTCAGTCATTCATCATCCATCCATCCACTCATTTATCCATCTAACCATCCATTGTTCATTAATTCATCTAATCATTTGTTAATTTAACCATTTGTTTGTTCATCTAACTATTCATTCATCCATCCATCCATTCGTCCAACTAACTGTCCAGTCATCCATCTAACCATCCATCATTCATTTAACCATCCATTCATCCATCAATCCTTCTATTTGTTCATCTAACCATCCATTTATCCATCCGTCCATCTGTCCAACTAACTGTCCGTTCATTCATCCATCTAACCATTCATTTATTCATTCATTCATCCATCGATCTAACCATTCATTTATTCATTAATTCATCTAACCAGTCATTAATCTGTGCATCCATCTAACCATTCATTCATCCATCTAAACATTCATTCATGCATGTATTCATTCATTCATCTAACATTCATGCATTCATCTAACATTCATTCATTCATTCATTCATTCATCATCTAACCATTCATTCATTCATTCATCCATCTAACCATTCATTCATTCATTCATTCATTGATCCATCTAACCACTCATTCATTCAACCATCCATCCATCCATCCATCCATCTATTTGTTCATCTAACCATTCGTTTATCCATCCATCTTTTCATCCATCCAATCGTTTGTTCGTTTGTTTGTTTGTTCGTTCGTTCGTTCATTCATTCATCTAAACATCCATCCATCAGTCCAACTATCTGTCCATTCATTGATTCATTCCTTCAACCATTCATCCATTCGTCCATCCATCTTATTTTTTCATCTAACTATTCATTCATTCATTCATTCATTCATCAATCCCTCCCTCCCTCTGTCCATTTTCTGCTAAGGTGTGTCTCCTGCTCCCTCTGGGAGATGTTCCAGACCAGAGAAGATCTGTAAACCTTACATCAAATTCTGTCTTCTCAGGAGGACATTCTTCCCAGTGGGAACTCCTAGGGTGCCTGGGATCTCATTCTTTTGTCTCCCTCTCATCACAGTAGCCCTTAGCAATGCCGTCATTACTGAGAATAAAACCCCAATCCTATTCTACCATCACTCACAAACAAGACACCAGAGCTTCTTTGCTGCAAGAAGAAACTTCTTCCCAGCCTGAATGGAGCATTCCACCTTTTTCTGGTAAAGAGCAGCAGAGGAGCCGACCCATCACATGAGAGACGCCAAGCAGAGATGAGATCCTGATGAAGGAAGATAGCCGCTTGATGTGAACTTTATGATGGTGTAAAAGTTTATCATGGTACCAACGATGATATTTCTGTAGGTGTTTCTGTCCCCTTATTCTATTTGTGGCAGAGCTTGTGAAATCCTTCACGAGTAATCTAAACACTGGTGTTTGAAGAGAACCTCCCAAATGAAGGATTGTGTCTAAAAACTGATAAATTTTTCTCTTTTTAACACATCAAATTTTAGTCCCAGTGAGATTTTTGGGCTTGAAACTCTTAATGGATTTTTTGTCCCTCTTCCCGAGCAGCTGGGTTTGTGTCAGTCTGCTGAATTAATATGCTTGTGAAGCTGGTGGGAGCCAGATCCATGGCAACCATTCGGCTCAGACGAGTGTGGGATGGATATATACTGGCAGGAGACGTGAATGCCACTCACATGCACGTGTGCGCGCATGCACACGCACTCCAAATCGATATCTGTGTTGCCAAGTGGAGCCTGACCCTCTGCTGCCTGGCAGATACAGATGTACATTTATTGGCTGCGCTGATTGAATCAAGATTTTATTTTCTGCTGCAGAGGAACACCACCAGGATTAGAAATTGTGTTACTTAAAATGGATCACTCCCACTGCTACTTATTAAAATATTAGATTTTTTTTTATTCATTCATTTTTTTGGCCTAAGTTCAGATTGTGTTTTCAATAAAATTCTGCCCCCAAAATCTAGAAAGTTGGATTGTGACTGCAGATCAATGTTTTTACTCATCCAGTTTATTTTAGTTAAGTTGCTGTTGGAGCATCCAGCATTAACACTCCTCTTTCTCTCTCTCTCTCTCTCTCTCTGTGTGTGTTTCCTCTGGCAGGAGGATGAGGTGGTGCTCCAGAGTGTGGCCACCATCCAGAAGGAGCATTGCAAGTTCTGCCTGGCTGCAGAGGGACTCGGAAATCGTGTGTGTTACTTGGAACCCACCTCTGAAGCTAAGGTGAGGATGGAGCACATTGATTAAATGAAACGCTATTAGAAATTAAACAGTTCCTGCTTTGGGATCTTCCAAATAATCAGTTAGAATGTTTTTAAAATAGTTTTTATTTTTTTAATTTTGATGTTTGTTTTTTTGTCTTATATTATACCCACATTTTTTGCACTTTTTAGACATAATTCAGTAGTCTGGTTTCAAGTTCTGATATAAAAAAACTAAAAGAATAATCCGGATTTTCTTTAAAAAGCAACGATTAAAACAAAAAAATAATTTTTTGACAAATCTTGGATTTTTGTGCAGAAATAGAAAAAAGACAGAAAGTTGACCCTGATAATGAATTTATGACCTTTCCTTTTTTAAACACAATAAAAAAAACTTTTATACATTTATCTTTTCTTAAACACATCTGGTTGTAGCTAATATCTAATTTACTGTTGCCATTAGATTATTATCAAAAAGTGGCATGAAGATATCATGTAATGTTTTTACTGCTAATTTAGCTTTTATATATTTTGAAAAAAATAAAAATAATAACATCTTTAATGATGGAGATATCCTAATTATGGTATTTTGTTGTACAAATTGAGTGCTTTGTTGTTTTTTTTTTTTTTAGAAAATCCATATCCTTTTGCCACACGTTTACTTCCTGTTTGCCCCTGTCTGATTGCTTCCACCTGTACCTGAGCAAGTCAACCCCTACCAGATTCTAACTGCACTCCCACTTCATGTTTGAAAAATGCAACAAATGCTGTTGCCTGGCAGACCGAGAGGGCGGAGCTGCTAACAAATACACAAACACACAGGCATTGTGACATCATAATGTACCAGTTTACATCATAGCATACCTCTTAGCCAATAGCGGTGGCAGATTTAAATTAGAATACAGTGCAGAGTTTTTACCTGACAACGGCACAACACTGACAGTTTTAGGCAGAATATTTAAATTTTAACTAAGATGCACTGAAGTGCCAAATTATTGACGACACGTGTCTGCAGCACGATTAGACACTCGTTTATTTAGTTTATCAGCAAAAAAAGTTTATTTGGGGGCGACTTGCTCTTTAACCTTCAGCCTCCCAAGTGTTTCTCTTAACTTGCTGCATTCAAGTGAGTTTAAAGTAAAATATATAGTTTTTAAACTTTAAGCTATAGCCTTATCGTTGATCTCACTGTGATTGTTGGGTTAGAAACTTGACCAGTTTCATATCTGACACCACTCTGCAGCCTTCTGCTGACCAAAAATGCACTAGCTAATTTTGAGGAGCGGGTAGGTGCTCTACAGGGGGCGCTCTTTACATGCCTTACAGCTGTTAGCTGTTATGCTAGCGGTAAGCATTTTCAATTTGCCTGTCAGCAATAAAACGCACAAGAAGAAGGAGTTTGTTTTTTTCTTTTGGCATCATGGTGGAGCCTGGAAGTAAAAGTAAGAGAGCATTATCTGTGGAGGCGAAGCAAAGAGCTAAAAACCAGAGTTAACGTTGGTGCGGTCTACGCTAGCTTAAGGGAGCTAAAGAAAGCTACACACACATGGGCTGATTTGATGGTGTCATGGCTTTGTTACTGCTGGACTTGTAAGTAATAAATCTTTAGTCCAGCAGTGTGGATCTTTTTACTTTATGGTTTATTTTAGTATTAGTTTGCTCATGTTCATGTTAGCTCGTTGTTGGCACTAGCTACAGCTGGCAGCATCAAGGTTGATTACACAGTTGTAATTCCACTTTCAACCAGTAGGGCAGAGGAGCAGGAAACTGTTCTGTTACTAAAACAGCTAATAATTGTAACAGGCTTTCTTTCTTATGCCTTTTTATTAAATAACTCGTCTTATTCTACTTGTTACAAATGCAGCAGCTTTTTTAAGGCAAAACATAAAATAATTTTAACGTGTTTTAAATTTGTGCTGCCGCACTTACAGTTTAAAGGGACTTTTCGGACTTATGAATTTTTATGCTCGCGATTGCCCCCTCAGGCCAAAAGCGTAATGGCAGCTTCAATAGTAGGGTCGTGCATGAGGCGCGCATGCTGTACGTGCACACTCCTTAAGGAAAATAACAGCTGAGACAGTCCTGTGTGAGTGGCCCGGAGGACAGAAGAACACAGGAAATTAATAAAAATAATGTCCCTCTGTCTCTGCAGCTGTACTTTCTCGTCAGCCGGCCGAACGTGCAGTGTGTGTGTGTGTGGCGTGGAGAACAGAGGACAATAGAACACGCAGCTAATTAATGAAATAATTTGGTTCTGTACCTTTCTCTTCAGCACTGCCGACAAAGGTTTATGACGGGTCAGTCCTCCTGCATGCTCAGATCATGCCCTTCCCTTGCTTGAAAAATTGTTCCAAAATGAAAGTTGAACCCACATCTTTTTTATCTGTGAATTCAATGCCGTTCGGCGAGTCTCAAATAAAAAATTTGGGCGTCTTATTACTGTAAAATAATTATCATTAATGTAAAAAAGAAACTCCAAATAACAAACTTTATTCATTCCCAGAATCGAACCCAAATCTCCTACATGAGAGTCAGACATCTTACTAAGTGAGCTAAAGCACCAGTGATGTTCTTTATATCTGTAACATTTATATCCTTGATGACACTTGAAACAACGTCAATCCAAGGAACGGTTCGGAGCGAAAATGGCTATTTTGTTGCTAATATGCAGGAAATATCTAGAAGAAAGTTCTACAGAAAGTAGCTAAGGGTCCTCAGAAATGTAGCTCGGTTCATCACTAGGCGTTAGGAACAGCGACAAAGTCGCTGAGTTGGTACTGCCTCTCTCTCTCTGCTGCTAAAGCTACGGATAGCAAACGCTACGGGCTATGCCTGAGCGTGAACGCGCATGAAGCAGCCTGCTCAACCCGAGCAGCTCTTTTTCTGTGATTTTACAGAAAAACAGGCAATCACAGTAAAAATGCCAGGGCTCATTCTACAGGACCAGGGCATTGCAGGAGAATGTATGAAGAAGAAATGTATTATTTCTATACATGTTTTGGCTGTCAAACTTCCATAATGCCCCTTTAATTACAAAGAAGGAAAATGTAATTTCTGAGAATAAAATGTGTCCTGATAGAAAAGTTGTGTAATGAATTACAACACAGTATCATAATAAAGGATCTTAAAGAGTCCAATAAGTATTTTTTTAGAAACCAAATTGACCAACTAGTTTGGTCTCTGAATAATCTTACTATGATAGACTTTCTAATTATTTAGATTTATCTCATAAACATTCATTGTACCACTCATTGTTGCACAAATCAAGCTGCACAGAGAAATAGAATAAAATAAAATGCTTTGATTTATACATAGGTGGAACAAAAAGTGGAGTATGCATTGAATTAATAGTAATAATTTTTTTTTAGTAAATCTGCATATAAATTCAAGTGTCGGATGAAACATGAGTGTCTGATGTGCAGACTGCTCTGACGTGTTAATGTGAACAGACTGAACAACATTAGCATGTTTGTTTTAGAGCCCAGTAACCTGGACACCAGCAGAGAGCGACAGGTTTTGGTTTCGTTCCACAGCAGATGCATCCTCATTATCGCCTCGCACCGCTTGCCTCTTCTCACATTTCTCACCTCACTGCAGAGATCAGAGGTCAGCTGGTCTGGTTGCCTCTCTGCTGTGAGAACAAGATGGTGAAGTGGTGGGAAAATGGAGGGAAACATTTTTTTCTGCAGACACATTTGTGTCATTCAGGAAATTTACTTCAGTTTGTTTTGTTACAATTTTTGGTCAGATTTGCATATTTTTTTAAATCACAAATTGTTTAAAGTTTGATGGAAAAAGTTTAAAACTCTAAAAGAATCGTTAATAGATTTCCTGATAATTTTGCAGTCAGTTGTCATGAATTTTTGCTCCTGCCTTATTTACATGGTCTGTATTCATGTTTAAAATTCAAGGCTCCTATCTATAAAATAGTTTGTTTCATGTTTATACAGTAAAACACTAAAGAAACATTCCTGCTTCAATATTCAAGTGATTTGCAGGAGTGACACGGGCCTCTTTTGACCTTTATTTCAACGTTTTTGCTCTTAACTTATTGAGGGAAATTGGCCTTTTTTTACCAAACAAGTCATTTTAAATCACTCATCTCAACTCGAGTCACACAACTAAGTTTTGAGGGAACTTAGAGCTTGTTGGTTTTAGCAGCTGCAGGCTGCAGTTACTAGCAAATTCCCAGACTCATTAAGAAACATTAAAACTGCAAGTTATTATAGTTTTTTATTAGCTTATTGTGCAGTTTGGTCATTTTATCTGGCCTCTGTTCAAATCCTGCAAGTGTTTTTGTCTGAATCTGCTTACTTTAATCACAAATCAGAGCTTTTCTAGGTTAGAATTTCATGTTAATTTGCGGATCCAAGCTCAGAGCTGCTGTAGACAGTTTTCTGCGTACATCGGATATGGCTTTTCAATTAGAATCATAAAACGTGTTTCTAAAACGGTTTTGCTGTGAGCTGTTGAGTCTCACGTTTAACGGAGGTTTGTGTAACAAGTTCAGTGCAGCAGAGTTTTTAATTTTTATTTATTTTTTTGGGAGGGGGTGTTAAGAGGGCAGCTGCTTCCCCTTGAGGCCCCACAGGTAACAGAAGAGGAAACTCAAGGAACTCAAACTCCTGGAGCTTGAGACTTTTCTAACGAAGAGCCCAGTTATCCTGTTCTTTCTGCTCTTGTTTTCTGCAGCATGTTCCTCCAGACATGTGCATCTGTAACTTTGTTCTGGAGCAGTCGCTGTCAGTTCGGGCCCTGCAGGAGATGCTGGCCAATACCGGGCAAAGCAGCGAAGGGGTGAGATCACTCTACCACACACACACACACACACACACACGCACACGCACACGCACACACACACACACACACACACACACACACACACACGCTCACTCACATAAAAGAACCAATTTAGGATTTAACGCTGGTGCAAGAAAACCTGGGAGATTTTCTTCCTCACAGGCTGACTCGTCAGTTTCTGTTATCTAGATGGTTAATAAAACACAGGATCAGTGATAGTTGTCCTCACACAGATGTTTAGTGAGTGCAATTTACTAAAAGCATCTAAAGATAGGCCCTTGCTGGCAGAGTGGCTGAGGCCCGGGAAGTGCAAATGTACTGAATCTGCAGAAGGAAGCTTCCTAGTTTTACAAGTCGTATATTTTAGGTTTGTCCAATGAGAGCCATGCTCCCCAGAAGGGACTCTGAAAACCCTGTTGAACAGAAAGTCACGTTAGGACACCAGAAACAAATTCAGCTAAATCCAGATCCTAATACTGTGCTAATGTTGTCACCTTTTAGCTTTGCAAAATGAGTCATTTTGAAGATTGCCTTTTAAAGTAATGCATAAATACTCATTGTAGATGGTCTGAATGGCCTCTGTTTGCAGAAATAAATTTTACTTCCTCTAGGGTTGATGAACTAATGTCTTGCTAACATAATCAAATTCCACTTTGATCTCAGAGTAGGGATTAAAAGCTGTCTTTGAACTGAGGCTGCTCTGAAGGCTAAGCTAACTTTTATTCTACATTCAAATCAGAATATTTATCAGATTAGCTGCTCAACAATATATTTTCTTGTATTTATGGCAAAAACTTGAATAAACAACTCGGAATCTTTGCAGAAATGGACATTATTTGATTTTGTGCCATAAAAACAGAAAACTAGCTTTGTTTTGATCCTGTGACAATTGAGATGTGATTGTGGGCTGAAAATATTCAATAAAGAAAGGAAAATATAAAAAAACGAGTTAATCTTTAGCTAACTTAAACTTATTCTTTCTGTGTTTTGATGAGTAGATGCCCTCTAGTGGCAGGGTGAGTATTTAAGCACCTTTAATGTAATTTGTACAGAAATAAGTTTATAAACAGAAAAAGTATCAGTTAAAGAGTATATACCCTGAGTAGTTTACACAGGTTTTATCTGTGTGGGTCCTTTTTTTGTGTGTGTGTGACCCGTCTGCATCTGCAGGCACCAAAGACCAATTACCATAAAGGCTTTTTGTACACAAATTATCTGAAATAACAGATTTATTTTAGCCACAGTTTATAAATAATTACATACCTCTAACTTTTCATGCATAAAATCTTCCCTTTTAGATGCAAACATGGTTAAATGACCAGCCTTTAATGTTTTATAGACACACTCATCCCTTTAAAACTCTTTAACACCAAGAAGTTGAACCAAACTGTCTCTTTTTATTTGTCGTAACACATTCCCTGTTTCGTCTCTGATAATAAAAGCCCATCAGGTAGCGATAAAGGAGGGAAATGATCTGGGAGTGCTCTGATGCCTGCCTTTCTCATCTGACTAAATGGCTGGAGCACTTTTTTCTTGGCTCCGCTCGAGCTCACTCAGCATGTTTACCGGAGCAGGATCCTGCAGGTTCTGTGTAACAATGAAGCACTGTTATGGAGGGGGGCCCTCTCATTCACACAAATGGGTTCATTTCAGGTGTTTTAATCAGATTTAATCACTAAAGTTTCAGCTATAGATGAAGAAATCAGGAGATGGAAGGAAATATTCGTGTTTTTCCCCATTTTTCCAATTTGCTCTGGGAAAACAAAGAGAAAACAATGCTTTTATCATCTAATAGATCATATTATGTAGAAGAAGTGGCTTATTTTTTGTTTAAACCAAAATAATCCTTGTTTCTACTGGACACAAGTGGTCTGAGTCGACATTTGAAGCATCTTCTAACTGATGCATCAATTTGTTTCCATTTATTTGAGACAGATCACTTGTATTCTAGGAATAAAGATGATAAAGCTGAAGTAGCATGAACTGTTGTGCAGCACAGATGTGGCCGCTGCAGGAACCCGAGCGCTACGCAACATTCAGATCACCGTATTTTATTATTTAAGAGATAAGTTAGGAACAAAAACAGATTGAGTTGAATGCAGAGCTGGGTTACTGAGGCCACAATTGTTCTTTTATGCACAACATTGCCACAGACGATTGTGTAAGTATCTTGTATACAGCCTGGGTCCTTTCTGCAGAAGAATTAGGCCTGCATGGTTATTCGCCTGGGTAGCAGATTTGTTTTGTGCTCAACGTTGTTGACGGGCCTTGTTTGCCAAGACAACATGACGTTGGCTGGAATACAAACTCTCAAGCGGGGCTAATCAATCATCCTCCTAGCTCCCACAGTAAGGCCCCACTTCTCCTCATTGTTGCTCTCAGACTTGTGCAACTGACCGCCTCACACTTATAACACCTTCTTTTTATTTGTATTTGTTTATTAGAAAGCTGACCATGAAAAATGGGTAGGTCATTCATGTTTGTCCATCGCATTGTCCGTGTGCATGACAGACTGCTAACAGAACAGGGGCGTAGAACTTCAGGCACGTTCACTTGATGTAATGCATATTATTTGATTGTCACGCCACATTTATAGCACGTAAAGCATCTAGTTTAGCATTAAGTGACGTGTTTTACATTGTAGGGCAACATCAGCCTGATTTATCCCTGATATAATAAAGAAATACAATTTACAGAGCAACGTAATTACCCTTTTAAAGCTTCATTTTGTTTTGGTTCTTTTCAGATCAGCATAAAAACGTTCTGTGTCAACGATAACCGGAGTGAAGAGAGAATGCAGTTTTCATTAAAGAGTAGGTTCAAGGAGAAACCAAATTTATTTTTGAAAATGATCGGTCACTTTGAGTTTTTCATGCAGCCTGAACATGAAAATGGTCTTTTACCCTGATTTAATGCATTTGCTACTGATGGAAAAATAGATGAAAAAACACTTTGTTTGGAAAATCCTGTCAGATCTACGTCACTCTGTCTCTTAACATGGCCTCACCCATCTTTACTCACGACGGGGAAGGCTGCTGTTGGTTTAGCATCCAGGAAACAGCAGAGAACGTCTCTGCTAGTAGAAGCTAACTGTTAGCATTAGCAACTCCACCACAGAGCAGAACTCCTCCAGAGTTGTGGTATTTGTGGAGATAAAACATCAACGTTGCAGATCGAACAGTCAGTGGTTGAGTCTTGTTGCTGTTAGCCAATCAGAAGTGAGATGTCCAAATAGCAGGAAGTAAGACTCCAAATCCTTTCGTCTGAAGCTACTTCCTCCTCTAGCTGAATTCTCCGTGCTGAAACAGGCTCACCGGAGTATGCCTTACAAGGCATTCAGTCCTACTATAGACCACTGCACAGCTATGAAAATATGATTGAAGGACAAATGCGTCCTGTGTGTGACCTCCTATTTACATAACTAATAAACTTATTAGTGACATTATTTAGAATGTTTACTGAACACACCTAGGCCTGGTTGTTAGCAGATCAGTAGAATTAAGAAACCATTCCAATAGAAGCTGTTTGACATCATGAAGTGATGCCCCCCCCCCCCCCCCCTTCTGAAGAATTTCAAGAATGATTTATTCACCAAAACAACATCTTTGGAAAGTGTGCGTCCCATTACACTTGAAGTAAAACACTAAAACATCATCATACCTACAGTCAAACACGGAGGTGGTAGTGTGATGGTCTGGGGCTGCTCCGCTGCTTCAGGACCTAGACCGCTTGCTGTTATTGATGGAACAATGAACTCTCTAGAATGTCTGACCTTTGACCTCAAACAGGTCATTAAGTTGAGGGGGAAATCATCATTTGAAAACTGCTTTCTCTATTCGCTCATGTAATCTTTGTCAGATATGAATGATTGTTGATCTGAAACATTTAATACTAAAATGATTAATTCAATATACTTTCTTTCCACAAGTTCACCAGTTTTTATGACAATCTTGAAATCTGCATTGACTTTGTTCACATGAGTGAATGTTTTGCCTGACCCCTTTAAATCTCTGAACACCTAAAATGAAAAGGTTTGCTTCTAAAGACCCGTTTTATGTAGCAGCGTAAATAAAAGCTCATTTTAACGAGACGCTCTGACGTGGCAGACTTGGCAGTTTAGGTGTGCTGCTCTGTTTTCTCTGAGTTTTGTCTCTAACCAAAGATAAAAGTTAGCTGACAGGAGGAAATGTTCTGAAATCAGTTTTGATTTCAGATTTGAAACGATCATTATTTGTGTGTTCCGTGATCCGATTGTTTCAGTTCTGATTCCGTCTGGACTTCCTGAAACACTAACCATCCCATTTGAGTGCAGTTGTAAACAAAGATCTTTAATGATATGATTTGAAGAGTAAATCATCAAAATGTGTTCAGAAGAATCAATGAATCAAATTTCCAAACAAGTCTGGCATGAAACAATTCTCTACTTCTATTGGAAAAATTATTAGTTTGCTGTTTTTTTGACCACACATGAAAAAGATGAGGGCAGCATTTAGATAAACTACAGCTCCATCAACCACACAGAAAAAGTGTTTAATTATTTTGAGGGAAACTAGGACTTGAAACTTTTGCAAAATAGTTTTTTTTCTGCAAGAGTTATTCATAACTCATCTTTCAGGTTTGGTGTCACTTTACTACTGAAACTTAAATCACAAAAAATGCCAAATCCTTCACAGAAAGTAAAGAAAATATCAAGACTTTTATTATCTTCTAATATTAGTGAATGTACAAAGATGTTTGGATAACTTTTTCTTTGCCGAGTCATCAAATAGGAAACACAAGATAAGAGGTGAGGTTAAGGAGGACATGTTAAGGAGCAAAGCATGATCGGTAATAAAAGGTTCTCCGCCCTGGTGGTATTACCAAAATAATGTATTTGGTAACAAGTAGGAACAACAAACAAAGCTCTGGTTTTAGAAATAATCAGTTCTCTAGTCTAGACAAAAATTTCGGTAACGCTTCCTTTTACAGTCCCCTAATTACTAAATACCTACATGTAATTACATAGTAATTTAAAGTGTATTATTGTGTAATTAAAGTTTATAATTGTAATAAAGTGTAATTATTGTGTAAAGCAGTATTTACTGCAAATGTTTAATAAAAATAAAACTAGGATTGAACCTGAGTTACATGATAATAACGGTTTAAGAATTCAGAAACAATACACTTTAACTTACTATGTCATTACCATGTAAGTACTTGGTAATTAGGGGACTGTAAAAGGAAGTGTTACCTTAATTTCTGCTGGTTTTGTGACTTATTTAAAGTCTATTTACCATAAAGACACAAAGTTTAGTTCATTTCATGTCCACATTCAAGCTACTTGTAACATTAATGAACTTTAAAGGTGCAATACATAAGAATGAAGTAAGAATGACATTGTGTGGTCAACTTTGGGTACTGCAGTCCATTTTCATAAACCAAAAGTGACTTTCTCACTACTGTTCCATGGGTTTCATGGCTGTTACCAGTTATGGATCAGTGCCAGAAGTTTATCGATGGCGAGCAAAGACGAGTCATACATAGTAATCTGGAGCTTTTTGCCTGCGAGTGTTGAATTACAAGCTACAGCGTTAGCTCTGCGCCAGCTCTGCAACCTCACCGGCTCACAGATTGTAAACAGAGACTATGTCCCTCTTTGGTTTTTATGAAAGGTGAAAAACTGCCGGCTGAGCAGGAAATCTGTTTTAATGTCACCTTCCTTCCAACATGATTGTGACATTAGGCTGTTTTGTGATTATTTCATTGTAAAATTCTTACATATTGTACCTTTAAAATCCTAATGAGCTAAATTAACGCAAGAATATTGCACTAGATAATTGATGTTAGCACCATCCTGCTAAAGCATGTGGAGGCAGTGGGAAGAAAGCTCACCTTTAACCTGCAGCAGAACTGGACTTGTAATGGTCTGAGAGGACGGGAAAGGGTCTCGGACATAAGCAGAAGAGTTTTACCACTAGACATTTCAGTGACGTAAATGGCAGAAATAACTGTAAATGTAAGTAAAAACTGGAGAGAGAGGAGAATGTGGTCTATAACAGCATAACTGAAAGGATGAGCCAGGATAACCAAAACTTGCTAAATGATTTATTAAGAAGGAAATGATCGAGCTCCGGTTCCACTTTTGAAAGCATAGAAGCCAACCTGCAGTCTGAGAGTGAAGTGCTCCATCAGAACCAATAAAATCCACAAATATGTTTATTTTTGACTCTCACATATTTGTCCTTGAGGTTTAAAGACCTGCACCAAAGCGCTTGTTCAACTCATATTATGCTCTTTTTATCCCGCTGCTAGAGGTTAGTAAAAAAGGTAGGTACTCCATTTGATGTTCAGCATAAAGGTGACAACAAATATCCCGTATTTTTAACCTTTACCACATTTCCTCAGGCATTTTTCTAACGAATATTCATGCTGCAGTTGTTGTTTGTGACAAGAATGAGAACATTAGTGTGAGATAAACGTTTGATTCTGTGTGGTGACCACTGTCCTGGTCATTCCGGTCACCCTGTTGTCGTTTTGTGCTTGCAGTTTGAGTGGGTGGATGAAAATAGGCTCCGAGTTATACGTCGGTGTAGATCCTCAGTCATCCAGGACATGACGATCCTAAGAGTTGAGTAGAGTTCAGCTGGATGCTGGAGAAAGTTATCGGTCATCCAGATGAAGGTGATTCTAGTAGGTTGCAGAGAAGGGTTCTGGGCTTTTTTACTTTTGGTTATGAAGACATTTCTCTTCTTATCCAACACACTGTCTCAAGAAGAAGCCAAATGTCTCAAAGGAAAGCAAAAAAGAAGTCCGACTGCTTCACTTCTCCCCTCTGAAAGAATCCTGTAGCTCTGATTATGGACTCAAGTACCAAAAACCCAAAACGAACCAATTTCTTTACTATTGGCCATAAACAAAGGAAGTCCAGTTTCCTTCTATTCAGCTCTTAGGATCTCTGAGCGCTGCAGATCTTGTCTTTTTAACAAAGTAAAGCAAAAGAAGATTTAAGCCCAATCTCATTTATTTATTATTTCTTTTTGTGTCACCATGAGATTTTTTAGGGGTACTGGCTGACGTCTTCCCCATTTGAAAAGAAGAATTTGGCCCAAAATGCTAGATGTGGTAGAAAGAAGTGGTGAAATGGGATTGGGCCTTGATATTAACTTAGAATCTAAAGGTCTTTATGGCAGCTCAGGTTTAGGGAGCTTAATCCATGATGATGGTCTGTTTCTGTTTGCCACCAGGCGGGTCAGGGGGGTGGACATCGGACCCTGCTCTACGGTCACGCCATCCTCTTACGTCACTCCTTCAGTGGCATGGTGAGTACCACCGATATCCAATTATAACCACTCGATGAGTCGATTCTTCAGCACTTAAATTAGCCTTTCTAAAATATTAATATTCTAAGTTTTACATGATTGTACTTTGATGAGCTGAACCCCCACCAGAGCGACTTTGTGCTTTGATCCAACACTAATGCATGTGTTACTCACCAGTACTTGACCTGTTTGAAGACATCAAGGTCCCTGACAGACAAGCTGTCATTTGATGTCGGACTACAAGAAGACTCGATAGGTACGGTAGGATTAACCGAGCATGAGTCAGCTTCACTTAAATCTTCAGTTGAAATCAGAACTTATGGTAGAAGCTCCCAGAGGGGTGTGTTGTTAGTCCACAGAGGATCTCCCCCACAATGGCGCCCCCAAGGGGTGGCCATGCCCCCCCCCCCCCCCCCCCCCCAGCAAAAGCCAGTGTTAATAAATCATATTGATGTTCACTCAAACCATAAATTGATCTTATTTATTCAAGACATAATTGTAAAACAAAATAAAAATAATACAATTAATGAGTAAAAAATTATCACAATAAAAAAATGCATGTTCCTGCTGCTCACCATTAAAAAAAAGTTTTTATCTCCATATTTTTTGTGAACACAGCAACAGGTGAATAAAACAAAAAAGTATACATTTCAAAGTAAAATTTGAAATAACATTTTAAATAACTGAAATGTTTTTTTTTTCTGAAATGTTAGTGTTTGTAAAATTTAAGTTAATTGTTTTGGATACTTCCTTATTTTTTTTAATTAAAAATGAATAAAGGAGCAATATAATACACCGCCACATGCTAAACTCTCCCAGGGTTACCACAAGGACCAATTTAGTGGTGCCACCCCAAAAATTTCGTTGGCCCCGTCTGGCCACCCCTATGAAAATTTTTTGGAGGCGCCCCCGCTCCCCCATGACAGATGATTCTGTGCATTTTGCTTCTCAGAATAAACAACGACTAACACAGCTGGTGAAATAGTCTGTTTATTTACGTTTGTTTCTGTAGGTGAGGCCTGCTGGTGGACCATTCATCCTGCGTCCAAGCAGAGATCCGAAGGAGAGAAAGTCCGCATCGGAGACGATCTGATTCTTGTCAGCGTGTCAACAGAGAGATACCTGGCAAGTTTGTTTTTTATAGCTCACCGGTAACTGAAGAAACCGCAGTTATTTTAAATGTTTTATTACTTTAAGGGTGAGTGTGAGATGTTTTCTTTGCTTCAAGCAAGCTACTTTTTGATAATACACAATTCAAAGGTCCAACCCCTGTTCTTCAGCCCCTTCCTATACAGAAACAGGAGCACGCAGTGCTGTTCCCTGGGGTTCAGTTTTACATCTACGACTTGTAGTTGGCACCTTTTCTGCCATAATCAAAAACTTCACATACTTACGTTACTTTATTACTATTTGTGTGCTAGCTAATATAGAGTGGCATTGTTCAATTCAAATTGCTAACACTAGCATACAAAGTCCGAGATGGTACGGCTCCCATCTACCTGAATCCTCTTGTAAAGGCTTACGTCTCGGCTCGGCCGCTCCGGTCATCACAGGATCGTCGGCTAGCAGTGCCTACACCACGCTCAGGACAATCCAGACTCTTCTCATGCATCGTTCCACAAATGTGGAATGACCTTCCAAGCACTACCAGAACAGGAGCTTCCTTTTCAATTTTCAAGAAACTCCTGAAGACCCTGCTCTTCAGAGAGCATCTTCTTAACTAGCACCCTCCCTACACCCGTCCCCCCTCTCTACCGTCCACTCCTTGTTCCCTCCTCTCCATGATTGATGTCAAGTTGTTTTTATTGTTGTTGTTAGCCTCAAGGGCAACATGCCGATTATCACTTGTAAGTCGCTTTGGACAAAAGCGTCTGCTAAATACATAAACATAAACATAAAAACAAGGCAGTTTTTATCTTTCTTAGTTTGTTTTAACTTCAAAATCACAGCAGCTCAGTGCCAACAACAATCTGAGAAAACCCCACAAACAACAGGTGAAAAGTTCCAGAACCGTGTTGCCAAGGCAGCAAACTGATAGACGGCTTTGCCAGCTGACAGAAGACAGCCTACACTGACAACAAGTCCATCACCCAAACGCTTCCGCTCTGGAACGGACCCAAACTCTGTACCATGAGTCTCAAACTCTGGTCCTCGAGGGCGGCTATGGCCCATCTCTTCTATGCAAATATAAATGCTATCTTGCAGCTGTTTTAACAGAGGACTTCATGGTAGGGATGTCCTGATACAACTTTTTCACTTCCGAAACAATACCGATATTGCAGCCTTCTGTATTGACCGGTACCAATATCAATCCGATTTGATATCAGCACGTATTATACATACTTTTACCTGTTTCGTAGTGTGGAATGTATGAAACGCTTGATCAAGTGATATTACTCAATCGGAAAACAAGAGCCAATAACAGTAAGTAAGAAAACGCCGTTGGTTGCAAAAATGTGAACCTTAACGTAGTGCTTATATCAGAGATTTTTGATACAGTCCGATATAATCCGATAGTGTTTTTGGGCCGATATCGAATTACTTCTGATATCGGAACGGGACATCCCTACTGTGTCTTAAAAGTTTAAAAGTCAAAATAGAATTGTTTCCTTATTTTTTTTTTTTTTACCCAAGCTGCTGCTTCGGGAAGTTTCAGAGCTGTTTGGTTGCTCCAACGGCTGTCCCGTTCCAGCTGACCTTAAACAGAAATCTGATTACCTGTGATGGACTTCTATGCATGGTAAAATACTTTGCATGGGACTAATGGGCTTAAAGTTAATGGTGTCCCCCTTATGCAGAGCTGTGCGTCCGACCTTAATTAACTGACATGGTGAAGAAGGGAATCATAAGAGGGAGAGGGAGATGATCCGACGTGCCTGGCATGCAAAGTTTGCAGCCCCCCCCCCCCCCCCCCCCGAGGCAGCGAGACGCACAATTAAAGAAAACCTGGGAAAGTGTTACCGTTATCTGTTTATTTCTTCCAACCAGAAAACATGAACTGATTCTGGGAGATGGAGACTTTAGGTTTTAGGTTTGGTACTTATTGGGGAAATTTGCTAGTCAGTGCTGTCCTAATACAAATTTATCAAAACAATCTTGTGCAAGGTAAACAAACCTCACCTGTATGATAGTTTACTCTTTATATTTCACTAAAATATATCAGTAAATATGTGAAGAAAAAGAGAAGAAGCAACGTGTCAGTTTTACAAATCTCCATCCAGCCTTTGGAGTCATTTTAAATTTAGATTAAAATGGGAAACAAGTAAATCATTAAAATCATTAATTCTGTATTTTGAGATTCCTAATCTTCTGCCAGAAGGCCAGAGCTCAAACTTAGGTTTGGGATTAAAAACTGAAATGTTAACATGTGTTTCTGCTCGAAGCAGGTCTTGGATTATTTAAATGTGGCCTCTAAAGTAAAGCACAGCTCTTCAAACATCCTTCAAAGGAATCCCTACCTCTGGCATTGAGGTGAAAAATAAAGTTTTGTTCCACTTGTTTTTGTTTTCCAGCATCTTTCCAACTCTAATGGCAACATTCAAGTGGATGCCTCCTTCATGCAGACTCTGTGGAACGTCCAGCCGACCTGTTCTTCAAGCAACATGGCCGTAGGTGGGCACCAACTAAAAGGCTGCAACAGAAACTCAAGTTTTTGCAAGACTGCATTAGAAATGCAGTGAAATAACTAAGGAACTAACGTTTTAGTTTGTTTTTAAGGGTATCTAATTGGTGGACATGTGATGCGTCTCTGCCACGGTCACGATGAGAGTCTGACCATCCCTGGAGCCGACAAGAGTGAAGACGAGCAGAGGTTGGTCTTAGCTGTTTGATCAAGATTCCCCTGAAACGTATTTAGTTAAAGAGCAAGTCACCCCCTACCAGATTCTTACTCCGCTCCCACTTCCTGTTTGAAAAATGCAACAAATGCTGTCGTCTAGAAGACCGAGAGGGCGGAGCCGCTAACAAATACACACAAACAGGCTCACAACGACATTGTGACATTATATGGTACCAGCTAATGTTCTAGGGTACCTCTTAGCCAATAGCGATGGCAGATTTAAATTCAAACGGCACAACACTGACAGTTTTAGGCAGGAAATTTTAATTTGAACTAAAGTGCACTAAAGTGCTAAACTATTGACCACACGTGTCTGCAGCATGATTAGACACACATTTATGTAGTTTATCAGAAAAAAAATGTTGATTTGGGGGTGACTTGCTCTTTAATAATTTTCCTTATGCTGTTTAAATTATTAAACTGAGGAAAGTAGCATTTTCAACTGAACAAATAATGAAGTGTTCTGCATTTTCTATGACTTAAGAAACTGAAATAAGACATTTTCTCACTTGTGTTGACAGAATAGTGAATTATGAGGCGGGTAAAGGAGCGTCTAAAGCCCGTTCTCTGTGGAGACTGGAACCTCTCAGGATCAGGTAAAACAAAATCAGATCACTGAGTTAAAGCAAAGTTGTAAGATCTGTGGATTATTTATAGTCTCTCCTCCCTACGTCCTCTGCTGTCACTAGCACTTAGCTGCTAAAGTCCAAGAGGGTTCTGTTTACTGTTCTTCCAGTTGACTTTGATAAGGCACAAGTTCACCTGTTAAAGGGATTCTTCAGATCTTTAGATGTATGTTTCTGTGGAAGTACATTTATATTTTACCAGCTGTTGCGGACGTCATTGTTCAACAAAACTTTATAAACCTTTACATTGCTGAGAACTTTGTTTATTATTGTTAGCAACAAGTTGTCATGGTTATTTGCAGCTGAAGATAGATTTGAGTCTGCATTTCATCACTTTAATAGCTACAAAAACCATTTAATGTGGATTTCTCTGTGAATAAACACAAAAACCTGTTTAACTCATTCGCTGCCAGCGTTTCTCATAGTTTTTACTGTTTTTTTGAGTCACAGAACGTTGCGCGCTAGGATGATGTCGACGCCAAAACAACCAAAACAAAGAGGAGACACACCTCTTACATCAGGAAGAATCTGCGCGTTTCGAGCGTTATCCATTCTTTCATAATCTGTTGTTGAATTGTGATCGGCAGAAGCTTTTCCGGTTCGCGTCTCACTTTTTTTACAGCAGCGGCCCAAAACGATCTCCTAACACACGGATGTTCTTCTTCCTGATCATGTGACGTGTGACGTATGCGGTTGGAGATCGGCTTTAGAGCTGAGATGTTTGTTCTCATGGTGCGGGGCTCGTTCTGATGCCCACGCAGTAAAAACATGCAAATGACGACTTTAGTCGTCATTGGCAGTGAACGAGTTTAGAGAGCTTAGTTATTTATTTTAAGGTTGCTTTTCTGATTTGTTGTATTTTTTCTTAAGTTATTTCCTCAAACATGTAGAAATTCACTTAATTCTTGCTTTTTGCTGAAGTGCTGGTCTTACAATACCAATGTAGGGCTCGACGTACAGAAGCTAGGCTTGAATTGGAGAGGATTCATCAACAATGGATCATTTAAACAACTTTGTAAAATTTCATTTTCACAGGGATAAAATGTGATCCTAGAGCTGTGTTGTGAACAGTTTTTCGTCCTTTAATTGTTTTTCTCCTGGCCAAATGAAAGACAGTATAAAAGTAATATAATAAAGGAACGTTTGGGATTTATCGCTGTAAGCCCTGAGGGGGTTGGGTGTGCCTCTGGAGGTGGAGAGACGTCTGCAGACAATTTGTAAAAAGAAAACAGCATCCAGTCTTATTTTATTAACACTAATATCTTTGTGCTTAGCTGGAGCGGAAGCCACATTCGATGGGGTCAGCCTTTCCGTCTACGCCATCTCTCCACTGGCCATTACCTGGCCTTGACTGAAGACCGTGGACTGGTCCTGCAGGACCGAGAGAAGTCCGACACCAAGGCCACTGCTTTCTGCTTTAAGTCCGCTAAGGTCAGCGCTCTGATTCCCCAACAGGATGATTTATTTACCTTTGTTACTATCTCTGTTGTACCCTTTGGGTTTACCTTGTTTCCAGCTGCCCGTAATGTTCCTGCCGATAGATGTTCTTTGCTAATTAGCCTCATTAAAAGCAGAATGAAAATGATCCTCCACTGACGCTGTTATCGCTGATCCCCAGGCATGTCTGGAAGCCGCCATAATTTGACCTTTTTACTGTCGCTGAGAAAACGGCGCCATAAATGTTAGAACAATCAATCACCTTGTTGGAACTACACAGAGAGAAATGCGCCTCCCTCGCTGCATTAGGAGTTATTGAGATGCGTTCAGGTGTCTTTGTCCATTTTAGCTCATTTATTTCCTCTCACTTCCTCCGCAGCCGCCGTGCTGAACGGTTTTGACAGTCTCATTGTGATAGTTTGTATTCCAGAAACGTTTTTCTGCCTCAGAATTACCCCGACGAGCTCACTCTGCACTTACTGAGGATTCCCTGACCTATGAGCTTGTAATATCTCTTCTAGATGACTACAGAGGAATTGGATCTAACTTCTCTCCTTATTTATGTCTCGTTGTTGCAAAGTGTTAGTTTTGGAAGCAATCTCCTCCTGTCCAGGGCACACGGGTGCTATGAGTCACCTTCACGCAGGACTATTTTCTCCGTTGATATCCCTTTATCTGAGGTTTGCACAGCTCTCCTGATTTATTTTACCCCCGACAACAGAGCTGGACTTGAGGAATCGCTGAGAACTTGTGCTTGGTTTAAACAATCCTTCTATCTTGCTGCACCTCCCTGTAACTCAGTCGTTCAGTCTGTATTCATGAAGGTCAGCGCCTCACCATGTTGAACATTGTCATTAATATGTTCCCTGCTACTTCCTGTCCACAGCAGTAAATTGAATCATTTCATCTCAGCTCTGCCGGAAAGTCGCGGAGCTAATGAGGCCAGCGCCAACCGGCCTCTCTGATTGCCATCTAATCTCAATCTCTCTTCATATTCATTACAAATCCTGTCATATTTCTGCTCCTGTGTTCATTTTAAAGGATTTAATGTGAGTTTATTTAAATACAACAGGAAAAGGGAGACTCTGGTGCAAAGAGGGACATTGACGGCATGGGAGTCCCAGAGATCAAGTATGGAGACTCCGTCTGCTTCGTCATGCACGTGGCGACGGGACTGTGGCTTTCTTACCTGGCACCCGACGCTAAATCATCCCGTCTTGGTCCCCTGAAAAGAAGGGTAAGGTTGCTTGTCTCACTGGAATGAGTCAACGTTTGACAAAAGTGTTGATTACATTATTATATATTATAATAATATTATTATATTAATAGTTTAAACTCCCACTGTCTTCATGGGTGACCCCGCCAGTAAAATTGAGCAGGGTTGATGGTTTATCCCTTGGGTCCATGTGGCAGGGGTGAGGAGTGAGCGCCAACTCACCCCTGCCACGTGGACCTCAAGGGATAAACCATCAGTCCTGCTCAATGGTCAATTTTACTGGCGGGGTCACCCATGAAGACAGTGGGAGGGTTAAACCAAAGTAAAGGATCAGGCAGGCTCAGAATAGATTAGAGTTGGATTTGAATGAACACTAGGAGTTTACAATCCATCACTCGTTATTTTAAAGAACTTCTTTGTAGTTTTAGCAGAATCGTTTCCTTCTGCAGCAAAAAGAAACTTGTTGATTTGCAGTTATGAAAAATAATTGCTAAGATAAACAACAATTGTGCAAAACTGCTAAGCGGTTTGCTTAGTTGTATTTTGGCCAGCATTTCTTTTCATTTTCACACTCTCAAAACTATATCAAGATGGTCAGACCCTCAAGATGATGATGATTATGATGATGACGATGACGATGATGATGATGATGATGATTGTGGTGACCTTGTTGATTCAGATTCTTTAAACATGTTCAAGATTCCGGTGACCTCCAACAGTCACAATCCAGTGACATCTTTGTTTAATTTTTGCCAAAAAAGGCGACAAAAGTGTAAATTTACGGTTGAAACGTCATCCATAATAGCTTTTCTTTTATTCTAGAAGTAAACCAGTATTTATTTTACTAATAAATGTATTCAAAATTTAAATGTGATAATTCTTAGAATAAATTGTTAAATTCAGATGAGTTAATAAACCTCAACATCGTAAACCTTGTATAAAACCAGACTAGTGGCTCGTGGACATTTAAATACAACCCTCACTCAGTCAAAGACTTATTTCCCTCCTGACTTTACTCGGACGTTTTCTTGCTGAGTCATGATGAGGCAGTAGGAGCATTTACACGTGATAACGATCGTGTGTGCGTGTGGAGGATGACGTGGCACATGAATGAATGACACTATAGTCAGTGACTCGATGCGACCTGCTGGTTTCCTCATATAGGAAACTTTTTAGTGATCGGCTTAATGAACTGACCTGTAATGGAGTGTTTACTGTGTGAAGGTCCTTGAGACGACTCTTGTCGTGATTTGACGCTTTATAAATAAACTGAATTGAATTGAATGCTGTTCATCACTGGGTCATCATCCAGAAATGCCACCTTGTGATGTAGTCAGCAGGCGCCCACAGCGTTGGCAGGAGGCCAGCCATGTTGGAGGTGACGGTCAGTTTACACTTTAATCCTCCCTCCCCCTTGACTGTTCTGGATTAAGCTGTTGGATTTCTGAGACCGAAACATTGAGCTTTCACTGGATGCCAGACTCTTCTCGATCCATTTCATGCTTTTTTTTTTTAAGTTTGTGTATGAAAACATGATACTATAGTAATTATTACAGTAACTTAAAAGAATAATAAACGGGTGTTGGCATTTTAATTTCAGTGCTACTAACTCATTCACTGCCATTGACGATTAAAGTCATCATTTGCATTTTTTTTACTGTGTGGGCGTCGGAACGAGCCCCCGCACCGTGAGAACAAACATCTCAGCTCTAAAGCCGATCTTCATCCGCATACATCGCACGTCACGTGATCGGGAAGCAGAACATCCATGTGTTAGGAAATCGTTTTGGGCCGCTGCTGTAAAAAAAAGTGAGGCGCGAACTGGAAAAGCTTCTTCCGATCACAATTCAACAACGGATTATGAAAGAACGGATAACGCTCGAAACGTGCAGATTCTTCCTGATGTAAGAGGTGAGTCTCCGCTTTGTTTTGGTTGTTTTGGCGTCGACATCATCCTAGCGTGCAACGTTCTGTGGCTCTTAAAAAACAGTAAAAACGATGAGAAATGCTGGCAGCGAATGAGTTAATGCATGTGGAGAATAAAACAGAACCTAGATGTGAGCCTTGGGGGACTCCATATCCATCTGCACAACCACCCTGCGGCCAAACCTCTCAAACCAGCATCACAGAGTCTGTTTATGTGACTCATCTCTTGATTTATTGCAGGGGTGGGCAACTCCAATCGCCGAGGGCAGCTATCCAGCATGTTTGAGTTTTTTCCCTGTTCCAACACACTTAATTCAATGGTTGAATCACCTGTTCACCAGGTTGTCAAGCTATGTAGAAAACCTTTAATCACCTGCTGATTAAAATCAGCTGTGTTAAAAGAGGAAAGCAACTGAAACATGGTGGAAAGCGGACCTGAAGGACCTGGATGGGCCACCCCTGATGTATTCATGCTGCTTTTGTTTGACCTTGCTCAGGCCTGCCTTCACTCCGAGGGCCACATGGATGATGGACTCATCCTCCAGCGCTGTCAGCATGAAGAGTCTCGGGCTGCTCGCATTATCCGAAACACCACATTCCTCTTCAAAAATTTCATCAAGTAAGAAATATTTCCAAAGAACAATTCCTCTTCGAAATCATTAAAACACTAACATTGTATGTCCTGAATCATTGAATTTCAGCGCTTTGGACATCGCTGCAGTCGGTGAGAGTAACGAGGTGTCCGGGTACGTGGAAGAAGTGCTGCAGACGCTGAACGATCTGATAGAGTACTTCAAGCAGCCCGATTCGGAGCTGGAGCACGAGGAGAAACAGTGTCTGCTCCGGTCACTCATCAAACGTCAAGACCTCTTCAAGGAGGAGGTAACCTCTAAGCAAACGTATCCCGCTAGGTTGGGAATGAATGCCAAGTTAATGTAAATCAGTTGAAAGTTCCACCCATCTTTGTCCAAATTGCTTCGACAAACTAATAATTTAAAGTCTAAACTGAAGTAAGTCTAAATTACATGGAATCATAAAAAACTGGAATGCTTGCACCATCTTTGAGGTATTTACTACCTTAACTGCACAGATCCATAGAAGAGCTGCCCATAGCTAAAGTTTTCACCATTTGACTCCAAATCTGCGTGTATATAAATATCGCCAGGGTATGCTGAGCCTCCTGTCCAAATGCATTGACCGGATGAACCTGTATAACAGTGCAGCCCATTTTGGAGAAATGGCCGGGGAGGAAGCTGGTGCAGCCTGGAAGGACATTCTCAACCTCCTCTATGAACTCCTGGGTGAGTGAGTGATGGATCGCATCAAATACCTTCTGTCAGCAGCTGTTCAGTCTGAGGAGACATGCAGTATTAATCTCCCCCCCGTGTCTTCACTGAATCCATACGCTCTCTGCACTCTTCACCTTTTGTTTTGCCTCTGCTGCCTGTCTTAGCTTCCTTGTTGTTTTCTTCACGCGTTATTTAAAGTTCTCTACAGGTGTTTCTTCATATTTTTCAGATTTGTTTCTCTATTGCACTGTGCCCTGCCTTCAATCTGTCTTTCTCTAAGGTATTATAAATTACTGATCGGATATGAGAAGAAAAGGTGGCACCATTAGCAGAATGCCAGTCACCACTGTCGGTGACAATATCCCATGTTTCAGGGTTCACAGTCGGTCATAAATTCTCAATCTTCAACTCTGAGAAGCTTTTTTTTCTTTCCTTTATTCAGTTTTTGGGTCATTTGTTTTCCTGCCACTGATGCATTCTCATCACCTCCTCAGCTCACTTTGTCTACCCTAAATGAATCTCTCCGGCATGTACGCTCACAGAAACACACACAGTGCCCCCGCCGACACTAGAGGGTTTCAGTTCTCCTTTCTCAGTGAGGTCACCACCAAGGATACAGAGGGCAGCACGAGGAGGCAGCATCTGGATGATGGATGGTTCAGGGAAACTTAGCCAGAAAAGGAAATACTCCTTCCTTATGTGGAAAATAACACAGTTAATCACAGGGATGTAAAATAGTATTGATACTTGCCTTTTAAGAAAACATTTAAACAGTTACTGAAGAATAAAACAAAATGAGAAAATAACTTTTCCGCTAGGCCTAATACATGTTTAATTTAAAGTAACTCTAAATAAGTTTTCTGCTTCTTCCTCCTGCTGATTTAAGGTGGAATTACAACTGTCGTAAACAACGAGCTAATGCTAACATGAGCTAAATGATACTAAAATGAACCACAAAGTACAAAGAGCCACTCTGTTGTCCAGTAGCAACAAAGCCAGGTCACCATCATTTTGTGATTTTTCTAGCCTCCTGTAGCTCCCTCAAACTAGCGTAGGCTGCGCCGATGTTCATTCTGGTTTTAGCTCTTTGCTTAGCCTCCAAACACATTACTCTCTTACTTTTACTTTCAGGCTCTGCCATGAAAGGAGGAGTTTAAGTATCTCGGGGTCTTGTTCACGAGTGAAGGAAAACTGGAGAGTGAGATTGATAGGCAGATTGGTGCTGCGTCTGCAGTGATGCGGGCGTTGTACCGGTCTGTCGTGGTGAAGAGAGAGCTGAGTCAGAAGGTGAAGCTCTCGATTTACCGGTCGATCTACGTTCCTACCCTCACCTATGGTCATGAGCTTTGGGTAGTGACCGAAAGAACGAGATCGCGGATACAAGCGGCCGAAATGAGTTTTCTCCGAAGAGTTGCTGGGCTCTCCCTTAGAGATAGGGTGAGAAGCTCGGTCATCCGGGAGGGGCCCGCCTGACCTGGCCCGCAGGCCGCCTATTGAGTACCGCTGCTTTATACTGTATTAGCGACCAGCACAGTAAACAGCTATTTCCATAAAGCAGGTAGACTAGACACCTACCGCTAAACTGTTAAGACCAGTTTCTGGTCAGCAGAAGGTTGCATAGTGTTGCCCAGTGTGAAGTTTAAGGCTCAAGAAGCACTGAAACCAGTTTGAAAGCAATAGCTTAAAGTTTTAAAATCTCTGCAGTCGCACTTAAAAGTCTGAAGTATGTGTAACCCTCCTGGATTAATATTTTCATGGTGTTTACTTGTTTGGCTCAGTTCATGTGTTCATATTGAGTTATGCATCTCCTGAAGAGTTTTGCACGCACGTCAGTTACTCGTTTGGTACAAAATGCTGTTAAAATGATTCAGGGACACTCAGTGGAGTAAAATGAGAGTGTTCACACGGGGGCCGAGGAGGTGGAAAACAACAACAAACAAACATGGACGTCTGAGCTTCCAGCTTTGCATAGACTTTACGGTTTTTCTGTGCCGTGTACCACACAACTTTTCATATCTTTTGCCAGAACGGGGGTACCTTTCCACATATGGCAGAGATGATTTTCTGAGTGTAATTGAATTTTTGCTTCTTTCTTCTAGCTGCACTGATTCGTGGAAACAGGAACAACTGCACCCAATTTTCCGGAAATTAGACTGGCTGGTCAGCAAACTGGAGCGGCTGGAGTCATCATCAGGTGTTGTGGGAAATATTTGTCCTCCTGCTCCTCAAAGGAAAACTCAGAAAAGCGCCTAAATGTGATTATCTTTTTATAAATGTGAAGATCTGCTCAGGTTGTTTTTAATTATGTCCTGCAGGAATCCTAGAAGTCCTCCACTGCATCTTGGTGGAAAGCCGGAGGCCCTGAACATCATTCAGAGAGGACACATTAAATCCATCATCTCTCTGCTCTACAAGCATGGACGCAACCACAAGGTGGCCAGAAATGAAAAAATACAGGATGTTTGGGATCTGTTTTTGAAAAAGATCAATTTGCACAGATCTGAACTGGATGTCTGACACTCCAGCCATGTGTTTTACACGCGGTATTTAAATACTCTCCTGATATTCATGCTGTAAGTTGTCACAGGCGTTTAATGGGCCTTCTCGTAAACAACAGCTGCAGATCATGAGTGGCAGGTTGAGCGCTGGTGTCCTGCTGACGTTAGAGCTCTTTATGCAGATGCTGCTTGCACTGCGGTTTACAGCTAATCTGAACAGTACAGTTTAACATTAAACTGTGTAAACTGCATTCATTTATAGAAGAGAAAAAGTAACCCAGTTAAAATGTCTGCTTTTAGATTCTGGATGTTCTCTGCTCCCTTTGTGTTTGCAATGGGGTGGCAGTGAGAGCCAATCAGAATCTGATCTGTGACAACCTGCTTCCTAAAAGGGACCTGTTGCTCCAGACCCGCCTGGTTAACGATGTTCAGAGGTCAGGGACACGTGCATATCCCATATCCTGATTTTGTTCTTGGATTAATCAATTCTGCTTTGCATGATGCACCTTTTTAACTGTTTTCACTCCAGTATGAGACCCAACATCTTCCTGGGCATCGCTGAAGGCTCGGCTCAGTATAAGAAGTGGTACTTTGAGCTGGTCATCGATCAAGTGGACCACTTTGTGACCGGAGAGCCGACCCACCTGAGAGTCGGTTGGGCCAACACTAAAGGCTACGCTCCGTACCCTGGTGGAGGAGAGGGGTGGGGAGGCAACGGCGTGGGCGATGATCTGTACTCCTACAGCTTCGATGGACTTCATCTCTGGTCAGGTTGGTGTCTCTGCTCGATGCCTTCGGGATAGCTCGGGAAGTAAGCTAACACTATTTGCTGGACCAGGTATGAATTGGCTTTTGTCGGTGAAGACGGTATGGCATAAATATATGTATTATATGTATTATATATATATATAGATAGATATATA